AGGCTCTTCTTGTCAGGCTTCGGTGGTCAGGACCCTCAGGTGCCCCAAGCTCTGTAAACCATCTTAAACCCCTGATGCGAAAAGCAACGTCAAGCTTATTACTTCTCGGGTTAGTGGAGTACGAGAAAGCCCTGTGTAAGGATTATAGCTCATTTAGGTGCCTATTTATCTCCTTTTGCAGTACTGTTATGACTGTCAGTATGCTTGCTACTTAGTAGTCGTCGTCGTAGTAGTTTCAACATAAAGCAAGAAGAGCAAGAGGGCTTTCGGGAGGGGGGGGGTGTATGCAAATATTTGTATCCTTCTTGTTCTCATAAGGAACCCTCATCGAGATGCCCCGAAGTGGGTTTAGGGTTTATAGGGTTTGGGTTTGGGGAGGCCCCCAAGTCGATTCCCACACGCATCGGCTGCCCGAAGCCGGCGAGGCAGCAGGCGTGGCTCCTCCTGCGCAGCGCGCGCTTGAGCCGCGTCGCCGCAGCGGTGGGCGCATGCCCCTTGCTTGGCTCCGAACATTTCCAGACTCCCAGAGGGTTTAGGGTGCAATAACGTCATGGGCACCCTGAGTTCAAGTATTTTAGGTCTACGGTCTTCTAGGCATCCCAATGGGTGCTCGCTGCACCCTGAGTTCAAGCATTTTAGGTTTACCGTCTTCAAGGCATCCCAATGGGGGCTTCGGCATCGCCGGCGAAGGTCGTTATCTTCTATGGGGCCCAGGCAGAATCGAAAGCAGCACTGCCTGAGACCTTAAAGCCGTAAACCCTAAACCGCAAGTGCTGCAGACGAAATCTGAGCAACCCTTGGATCCGACCTACTTATTATTACCTTTAATATAACAACAATCAAAACAACAATAATCATAGTAGTACCAATGATAATAGCAACAATAATCGACAAAATGATCGTAAATCGCCTTGAATAGTGAAGCCTTGGTAATGGTGCTAGTGCTTAAGAATGTTTGATATTCTTCGTGGGAGGTTCTTACTGTATTCAGAGTAAAATAAATACCCCCCCCCCCCCAAGCTTTCTTGCAAATCACTACGGCCGCCCCAAAAAGACAAGTATCGGCAAGCCAAGGTGTCGCTGCTTGCTTGTAGCGGCCTTAGAGGGCTATCTCTTCAGAAGCCGCAGGATAGTCATGGTACCTTTATCGGCCAAGCCTTTATAAACCCACCCAGAGCCCTGAACTCTAAGCCCTAGAACCCGAAACGCTAGACTATGCATCCCGAACGCTTTTTCCTAAACCCTAAACCCTGTATCTCCACAAATCTTAAACCCTCATCCCTCACCCTATGGCCCTGTGGGTTATTCGGCGTGGCACAGAGGGATAAGGCTTCCAGCAATGGGTTTACTCCAGGCCCTGAAAACTTTCACGAAAAGGGTTTAGGATTTAGGGTTTAGGGCTTAGATTAGGATTTAAGGCTTTGGGCTTCGATTAGGGTTTGGGGCTTATGGGGATTAGGCTTTCGGGTTTAGGGATTCCTTGCAACCAAGACCCAAGACTCTTCTATGTATCCGATCGAAAAGTCCAAAGCTAAGCCACTAAACCCTCCGGAGTGCTGACCGACATGTAAGCACGATGGGACCGTGAGGGCCTGAGACCGGCTTGATCTGCGAAATCCGCCGCGAAGTCGAACCCCTCCTAGGTTCCCCCGTAGCCCCTGTAAGGGTTAAGGGATCTATAACGGTTCGTTTTCAGGGATGTAACAGTGTTCTATGAGGGTTCCTTTACAGATTAGGTACCCCAGTACCTAGCCTCTCAAACTTAACCCCCCCCAAACCCAACTGCCCAACCACAAGACTAGGGTTTAGATTTAGGGTTTAGGGTTTGGGACAGCAATTTCACACCAGCGAACATCCTCAAACATTGCGAGAAATTCCAGGGGCGTAGGTTTAGCGGTTTAGGGTTAAAGCTCCATGCAAACAGGTGACCCACTCGGTTGACCTTTCTCGGTTTACAGGGCCCTGCCATAATTGCAAAGTAACATAAGGGTGTCACAGGTAAATGTAAGCCTCTCTGGCTGCCGGGACACTCCGCAACTCGACTAAGGCCACGTTAGCGTGTGACAGCCAAGCCGTGGGTCATCGTGGAAAGGGTCATACACTTGGGCTGCTAGGGTTCAAAGTTTAGGGTTCAGGGTTTGGGATTTTGACTTTAGGGTCAAGGAATTATCGCTCATCTTACATTATACCAACCTCGACCCCAAACAGCAAGTGGGAGACAAATGGGAAACATGTGGGAGACAAATGAGTAGCGGTTTTTAGAGTAGTGCCGTGAGAAATCCAAATGAGCGTTACAGCAT